AGGTAGGATGACAGGCATGAGCCAACGGTACCCGGCCCTGGAGGCAGTCTTATCATTCTGAAAATAGGCTTCTTTCTTCTCCCCCAGGCTGCGCCCTGTCTAGGATGTGCAGTGAGATGTCAGTGGGAGTAGGCAGGCCGCCTCCCTGCAGGTTCTGGTCTTTGAGGGAGAGCAGTCAGTCTCGGACCATCACGTTCCATGTGTATTTCTCATGGATGTTTCTCATTAGGCTAAGGATGCTGATGTCTCTTCCTTTTTTGTGAAGAGATTTTATCAGACTATACTTGGAGACAATCATCTCTGCCCGACTGGATGTTAACAGAAATAAGCCGTCCCATTTCTTTCTTCTTTTATTTTTTCTTTTGTTAGTCCTGGGGCTTGAACTCTGGGTCTTGGCTCTTCAGCTCAAGGCAAGTGCTCTACCACTTGAGCCACAGCGCCACTTCTGGTTTTCTGGTGGTTCATTGGAGATAGGAGTCTCACAGACTTTCCTGCCCAGGCTGGCTTTGAACCATAATTTCAGCTCTCAGCCTCCTGAGTAACTGGGATGATAGGTGTGAGCCACCGGCGCCCCACTTAAGCCATTACACTTCTTGACATTCACTGATGTTAAAATTCAGAGTCAATAAATGATGAACTGGGCTGGGAAGGTGGTTCAGTGGTAGAGCGCTTGCCTTGCATGCCTGAGGCCCTGGGTTCGATTCCTCAGCACCACATAAGCAAAAAAGAAAAAAGCCAGAAGTGGTGCTGTGGCTCAAGTGGTAGAGTGCTAGCCTTGAGCTGAAGAGCTGAGGGACAGCGCCCAGGCCCAGAGTTCAGGCCCCACGACCGGACGCAAATAAATAAATAAATAAATGATGAACTAAGTATTTTCCCTTTGTAGTTATGAAATTGCCTTGTCACCTCTTGGCTTTATCTCGTGTCATCAGGCTTGTGTTCATGTTTTAAAACACGTTGCAGCTTTCTACAGTGCCTGTGAGCCCCATCCGGGCTTCCGCTTCCGCCTCTCACAAGTGCCTCACCCCTTCTTGAAGGCCTCCCTGAAGTTGCCCTTCTCCTCAGTCATTCATTGCTTGTCATGGTTCAGAATCTTCTCCCTTCTTCCCCTGCTTCCCCCCCCTCCCCTTGCTGTGAAGTACAAAGCCCTATTTGAGACTTAGGCTAGATCTGCACGTGCCATTTGCTCTGCTGAGATCTGGCTGTAGGCTTTGTTCCTGTGCACTTGCTGCTAGCCTAGGGCTATGTTAGGAAGCTGTGCTGAGATGTAGCAAGCTCTGTGCTGATTCTGAGGGGTGAGCGAGATTCTGACTCTCAGGAGCTGCTCATGCGCACAGGTGAGGGCTTGTTAAACGTGGCGCAGACATTTTCATTAACGTTGGCTTGTTGTCATCTAGCATTTACTCTTTTAAATGCACAACTGAAAATTATTTCTCTCCTGGGGAACGTTTTCCTGCCTTTAGAAATGATTTATTGATTGTGGTGCCCACACAATGGGCTACTGATTTTAAGAAGAAAGAAATGGAAAATTAATTTGATCTGGCTGGGGGTGGCGTGGAGGAAGAGAGAAGAAAGTCAGTGTTTTTTCAGACATTGTATCAAATTCTACATCATCTTGGTTTGAATCCTATGGTTACCACCAGAGGAACCGAGGTGCAAACCCCTGGCACACAGCTCATGAGAGACAGAGCCCAGGGACCAAGCCCAGATCTCACTGGACACCACTGGAGACATGGAGAAAGCGCCAGGAGCACCGTGTGAGGGAACCTCGTCTAACATTGAGGAGGCTCACGGCAAATGGGCTCCGTGTTCCTAGACCAGTTTGGGGGAGACCTGTGATTCCCCTAGAGGCAGCATCCCTACAAAGTGAGGAAACAGATGCTGATGACTGTGCAGATGTCTCCTTCCGAGTCTCCAGCCAGCCTCCAGCGCCTCAGTTAGTGCACGGAGCTGTGGCAGATCAGAGCAGTCAAGAGACATCTCCATGGAGCTAGAACCTTCCTTTGAAGCAGGACTTGTAAGGAGAGGCTGTGCTGTAGACTAGACCATGGGTTGAATCCCTGCCCCTCACACCGGAGCCCGGTGGGCGTGAGCAGTGGCGTTTATAGTGAGTGTGGGCCTTGGAGCCGTGCACGGGGGAGGGCTGACCTCCCCAGGCAGTGGGAACAGGAAGGAAGGAGACTGAGGAGCCTTAGGCAGGGCCATGCCTAGGAGGTGGTTCCTCAGGTCAAGGCCTCAACCACCAGGCTGTTCACAACCCCAAGGAACCGGAGAAGCCTCAGAGAGGATCAGGTAACTCAGCCCACAGGTCAGCCACTCAGGTCAGCTCGGATCGGGGCCAGCACATTCCAGCTATGAGGCAGAGGCTACCTGTAGGCACAGTGCCAGCACTACTACCAGGAACGCTTCCTGGTCCCCTGTGCCAGGCAGGCCTGCTTCTCTCCAGGTGGGGAGAGCAGGCCTCAGCTCCCCTAGGCGCCTCTGCCGGCCCTCTGCCCCACGCAAGGCCCCTGCTCCCCGAGACCCAGGGGTGGAATGCAGCCCCAGAGTGGCCTCCTGGATTTTCTTAGAGCCCTAGGATCCTCAGGCAAAATGCACCCCTTTAAAAAATAAAAGACTTTTTCCTTTTCTCTTCAGTGATTCTGGGGTTTGAATTTAGGGTCCTGCACTTATTAAGCAAGAGCTCTACTCCCTGATCCATACCTCCAGACTTCCTTTTGCTCTTCAGTGAAAAATAGTACCTACCCTTGGGGAAAGAAAGAAGGGAAGGGGAGGGAGGGAGGAAAGAGATTAAAGGTCTCCCCCATAATTACGCAGAGTTAGACGTTCTGAATGTTGGAATGCTCAAAACTGTGCCGCAGTCTCAAGAGTAGCAAGAATGGCAGATCCTCTGCGCCGCAATACATGGACATCTGTAAGCCTTTTAAAGTTCACGTGGGAGCTTCCTGCAGCAGCTACAGAGCTCGACCTCTCTTTTATTTTTTCATTGAAATTATAGATGAGAACATTTGAATGGAATGTTGGATCCCTGAGTTTTTAGGCATCTAATAATGTACTAAAAGAAAATCAGTTGGCCTGGTGCCTCTCAAGCGTGGATCTACATCCAAGGCCCAGAGGCAAGAATAGAGGTGGGCTGTGAAGGCAGCCTCAGGGGGTGCCGCTGGGGTGGGCGGGGACAGGAGCTAGGGAATGCGCTCTCCCCAGCTCCGCCTGGTGTGGGGGCTGTGAAGAGCAGCTCCCCAACAGCAGGGTCCTCAAAGGTGTCATTTCTGAAGTTTGGTGTGTTTTCTTTCTCTTTCCTGGGTTCTACTGGTGATAATTGCACACCTGCTGTTTTATGTATGAATTGTGGGCTTTCCTAGATACAGTTCCTTCATAAGGTCTTCTTTTTTTTTTTTGCTTTATTTTTTGTTTTCAATCAACATAAAATGATTGCACACATTCATGGAGTGCAAGGTGATATGTTGACTCGTGTATGATGCGTAATACCCAAACCAGAGCAACGTGCTTATCTCGAACATGTTTCAGCTCTGTGCCAGGATTCATTTGGCTCCCTCCTTTCTGGTTATGGTGAATGGAAAATAAGTTATTTTCAACCCTAGTCACCCAGCCTTTCCTCAGATCTATGATAGTTCTGGTGGTTTAGTGGGCCTGTTCCTCTTCACCCATGTGATTCTACCCACGCTCCTCGGGGCTTAGGTGGTGTGGACACACGGCCCTGCCCTGCCTCGGTTTCCTCAGCAGTGTGTAATGACACCAGGGAGACGTGTGCACATCTGTAGCTTGCTTGACCCACAGTGGACACACGGTTGGTTTAGAGGCGAGTGGACCTCACTCCTGGCCACCAGCTCAGTGCTTGTTGACTAGCTTCACAGAAGGCTGCCAAAAACAGATGTGGAATTGAATTGGTCATTTTGAGATCCAGTTATTAAAGCTTTAGTGCGTCCTTACAGGAAGTGTGAAAGCCCACAGTCTAAAGGAGGAGGGATCTGGTCACCCACACATTTTCTAGCTCTCTGGCTAAGTAATCATTTCCATTCTGAATCTTATGGGATGGGGGTTGGGGGTGGGGCGGAGCAGGAGAGAGGTGTGTTGAGCGCTGACTGCTGAGACCCCTGCTCCCAGTAGGCTGTCCACGGGATGTAAACGCCTCTTCCGGTGCCAGGGGCACTTGGTAAGATGCATATGCCTTGTTGGTCCAGCTGGTTGGCTTCTAAGGATTTCTCCCCTAAGGGACTGGTGTAGTTTGTGAGACCCCATGGATGGTAAGACTGTATATAGCATCATCATGGGACTCATTTCCAACATCGGGAGCTTGCGCCACAGGAGTGTCTGCACCACAGCGAGCTGGGGAAAGTGGCAGCCATCTGTACTTAGTGTTCTTTGAAATGAAACTAGAAGTTAAGCTTCACTGGTGTTTATATCAGCAAGAATGCCACACCAGCACTCAGCAGCAACCTTGTGGACACTCAGCTTCCAGGGTCCTGGGGAGGAATGGGGGGAGGGGGAGTTTAGAGGGTAGACAGGCACTTGGGTATGGTGGTACATGCCTATAATCTCAGCCACTGGGAGACAGGGGCCAACAAAATACAAAAAGGCTTGGGGAACAGGCATGGGTGGCTCACACATACAATGCTAGCTGCTCAGAAGGTTGAGCTCTGATTCAGAGTTCAAAGACAGCCTGGGCAGGAAAGTCCATGACACTCTTATCTCAAGTTGACCACCAAAAAGCCTGAATTGGTGCTGTGGCTCAAATGGTAGAGCACCAACCTTGAATTAAAAAAGCTTAGACAGTAGCCAGACCCTGAGTTCAAGCCCTGGTACTAGCACACACACAAAAAGAAGGCTAGGGGCATGGATCAAGTGGTAGATGGGTTGTTCGCCACCCTGAGGGCTCTGGATTCAGTCTTCAGTATGCTGTTGGCCGTCTCTGAGTGCCCTCGCTTGCCCTTCCTCGTGGTCTCCCCGTTTACCTTTGTCCGGGCGTCCTCTCACCCTTCCAGGGACGCCTTGGCGGAAGCAGCAGACGGAGGACCTGCAGCGCGTGCTGGGGGCGGTGGACCGGGAGATCCCGCTGGTCCTGGTCAGCGGCAACCACGATGTGGGCAACGTGCCCACGGCGGAGACGGTGGCGGAGTTCCGCCAGACTTGGGGTGATGACTACTTCAGCTTCTGGGTTGGGGGCGTGCTCTTCCTGGTGCTCAACTCCCAGTTCCTGCACGACGCGTCCCGGTGCCCCGCGCTGAAGCTGGCCCAGGACCGCTGGCTGGAGCAGCAGCTGGGCATCGCCCGAGAGCGCCAGTGCCAGCATGCCATTGTCTTCCAGCACATCCCACTCTTCCTGCGGAGCATCGACGAGGATGACGACTACTTCAACCTCACCAAGGCCGTGCGCAAGGAGCTGGCCGACAAGCTCACCGGAGCAGGTAGCGCGGGCCCTGGGGGGGGGGGGGAGAGTGTTCAGGCCATGGCAGGTAGCTTTTGTGGCAGGCCACCCCAGGCCCTTTCCTTAATGACCTTCAGACACAGAACAGGGCTGGGGCAGTGTTGGCAACACCAGATTTGAGGGGGACGAGGGCAGATCTGCAGGCGGTGTGCCCTGTTGGGTTAGGGGGTAGGGGCAGGCAGGCTGCCAGGGGCCTGGGAGCTGTGTGCACCCCCTGCTCACGATGCATGTGGGGGTGGCGAGGGTCACAGCAGTAGAGCTCAGACTCATTTTGGAAAGCCAGAAGTTCAAGCAATATTTTGTAAAATTCATTAGTTTGAAGACCGTGATAAAACTGGGGGTGACGATGGCAGATGGTGTTTAATGTTGCCGCGAACCCTCTCCCCCCACAGCACCATTATTTATTATCCCTTAATACTATTTCCGTCTCATTTATCTCCTTGTGCTAAAATGCCAGTTCTCAGAAATATGTCAGAAGCTCATCCGATGATCGGGGTAGCTTTTAATTACGATAATTGTGTTGTTATAAAATACCCTTTAAAAGACCACATCCCTCCCCAAACCACCATGGAGGTGAAACCCTGCTTCCTCCCAGGGAGTTTATGAATAATTCTGAATCATTGTGTGGGATGAATAAATGATTTAATAATGAGCGCCAGCAGCCACCTCCCTGCTCCGCGTGACTTTACCCCGAGGACGAGGTCGGCGGGGAGGAAGGACAGTCACTGAGCCACGGCCACCCCGCCTCTGGGGCTGTGCACTGTGACCCAAAAACAAAACCTCCAAGCTCAGGTTTCCCTAGAAACGGAGGCTTCCTGCTTCTGCTTTTGAAGCTCAGTAAGAAAACAATAAAAAATAATTTTTAAAAAACCTTCATGTTACAAGAATGTTGTCAATAACTGGTACAAATAAACAGACATCAGGCCTGGACAGATACACAGACATGAAGTGGCACCTGTCACTTTCCGTCGCCTTTTGTTCTGCCTGAGGATTATCAATTTCATCACATCCAAAGGATGTCAAAATTGGTTTTCCCCTTAATTCACCTGATTCCTAGTTGGAGGCAAAAGGCAAGAAAGGTAATGAAGTCTTGGTGGAAGGAAGCGGGGCATTGCCTCCATCCCTCAGGACGCATTTTAGGGGAAGGTTCATGTGTGACCCAGTTAATACATGTAATTTCAAAACTCAATCTTAAAAAATAAAAGGCTAACTCTTTAACTGACCGCATTTCCCTTGAGATCCTGATGCCTTTTCTTTTTTTCCATTTTCAACGTAGAGGTTAGAACTGTGTATTAAAGAGCTCGGAGCAAATTTAGCAATTATGAAAAATTCCAACAAGTTGATCTTTGTTGCGAAAGTTAATGGGTAATTTCACAGCATTAGGGTTTCATCTCTAGTATTTATGTTTTAAAAAATGAGAGAGGGAGGGGATCCTGGCCCATGATTATGGGCCAAGAATTCCAGTTTTAAAGAGCACAAAGGTTAGATGCGTTTATCTTACACTTTGTAAGATAAATAAATCATCTGATCCTCCTCTAGTGTCAGACTGAGTTGTACCGTGTCTCCTCCAGTTTTCTTGGTGGTCATAAGCTCAGCCCTGAACAAGACTGTCACTTAATAACCCCCTAATAAGTCAGTATCAGTTCAGTATCAGCTCACCAGTTAGCATCCCCACCTATGGACTGGTGTTGACCAGCTGCGTCTCAGACAGGAAAGGCGTTGCCTCGTGCAGGGGAACAGACTTTTCCCGCAAAGGAAATATTTGGGGCTTTTCCATCCTGACTGTAGCAGCTGCTCAGATCTTCCCTTGCAGAACCAGAGCCAATATACGAACAACTGGGCATGACTATATGCCAATAAAACTTTATTCACAACACCAGATGGTGGGCCTGCAGGCTGTAACGTTCTAAGCACAGGCTTCAAGAAGGCATGGCACTCTTGCCTTCCATGGACCCTGTTGTGTCTAATTCCTGAGTGCTTCCGGTGGCCCTGCTGTGGAAGGGGCCTGCCTTATCGAGGCGTCTGCCCACAGCATGCTTCCTGGCCCCAAATGGAGGCCTTGTCTTGGGGAGCCACACACTACACCGGAAGCCCACAGTGCAACTGGGGGGACTGGGGTCAAAATGGAACGAGAAAGACCGTGGGGACACTTTAAAAGGTGTCTCATGTTTCTTTCAGCATGGGTTGGCAAAAGCACAAGTAGCTCACCAGTTTACAGACAGTCTTAAGTATGTCGTGGTGCAGGCAGGAGACAGCTGAAGGCAGTCAGGAGGGTGACACAGGGCAGCTGTGTTCAGCCCTGGGACACTCGTCTTTCTCTGTACATCCCTCCCCTCTCCCCTTCAGTGCGTCCCCTAGCCACGTGGATTAAACATCCTTCTGTCTTACTGTCTCTCTAGTAATGTTAATATGAGGGCATCCGTCCTGACCTCGTAAGGCCACATAAAGCAATCCCGTGTGGAGCACTGGCGCCAGGCCGGCACTTGGAAGCTCTCAGTTAAGGACTGCCCAGAGGTACATGGGCCTGAACTGAGTCTCCACAGCAGCCCTCAGCTGGATCTGCACGCGGCACGCCGGCTTCCTCCGGGGCCAAGCAGGACAGGCAGCTTAGCCTTGAGGACCTGCCTCAGTTTGCCAGCTCTTAAGTTGTGTATTACGCAAATTACAGAAAATGCGGGTAGACAAAATCCTCTTGATTCCTTTCCTAGGCGCTGGTGGCTCACACTTGTAACCGTAGCTACTCAGGAGACTGGAATCCAAGGGTCACAGTTCAAAGCCAGCCAGCCGATGCAGGAAAGTCCATGGGACTCATATCTCCAATAGACCAGAAAAATGTTGGAAGTGGTGTTGTGGCTCAAGTGGTAGAACTCTAGCCTTGAGCAAGAAGCTCTGGGACAGTGCCCAGGCTCTGAAGACTGTTTAAAAAACGAGTCCTCTTGTCCCCTGAGGTGGGAGTGAGGAGAGACTGCTGTGAGCCCAGCGCTCTTCAGATAGATAATAACACGTGTTCTTTCTAAAGGTTTTATGATTAGGGGCTACCAGCCTTAAAAGTTGGGGACCATTAAATTAGATGGACAGTTCTAGTGGAACTTAATGATGAAACTTGACTTTTTTAAAGCACAGATCTCGCTGTTGAATGTGTGGTAAACAACCTTTGTATAATGTCATTGTCAGATTTTCCAGATTCTAGCAAGCCTGTCCAGTAGGCAGCCACCATCATCTTGCAGTCACCCCCTCCAACTCCCCCAACCCTGGCATCAAGTACATTTTCAGAACTTCTGGGTGCTTCTTTTCCAAACTGGCTTTCTAAAAAGAATTGACAGACAATCCTCTCCGAGTCCAGAGTTTCCAAAGCCAGAGCAGTGCCGGAAAGTTTACCTTCTTTGTTTCCTGGCTGGCCCTCCACCAAGCTTTTTCCCAGGTTGGATGCGCCTTGTGCCTTACTGCATTCCCATCAAACATCATGCCTTAGCCACTTGATGTCTGTTATCTTGTTCCCTGTAAATCAAATAAAAGACCAATTGCCAGAGCTACATCTGATGTACTGGGATGGGCCCTGTTTCTCACTTTGGAGGTGTCCTTCACAGTTGGGCTAATTAAAGTGGAAATCAAGTCCCGATGGTAAATATTTGTAAGTTGAGAATCTGCCATGTGTGAATGCACACCACTAATTCCCGAGTTAAGTTGGCATTGACTCATTCACCAAACTGCACCAAATGACACCAGGGCCAGAGGAAGGATCGGCAAAGCAAATTCGCCTCAGAGGCTCCTTCTCGGCAGCTGTGCTTCACTTTAAAAGTCAAAATTAAAATGTTACTGAAAAAAAAAAACTCTCACTGCAACATTTCAGACCTGCAGGAGCCTCCTGGGCCTGACACCACAGTGTCTCAATTTACAATCAAAATATTTTATCCTCACTTCTTTAGATCATGTTTTAAAAATAGCAATTGGTGTCATTTTGAAATTAGCACTGAGATTCCTTTGGAAGATCCCAGTGTCCCCAGTACCTTGGTTGGTTTTCCATTGCTGTAACTGAACCAGGGATTGCTGGGCTGGAGGTCCTCACGGCGGGAGTGGAGGACTGGTGCAGCCCCCACATTGTGTGCTGGCGGTGTCCCGAGTCCTGGCTTGAGTCTCTCCTCAGACCCAGCAGCTTGGGGCCCCGCCCATCCTAAAAGTCCCACCCCAATGGCCGCCCTTGATGACACACCCATCCTCTTGATTCCTCACCGTGAGGTGAAATGGTAACAGGAGTTGGGGGGCTGAGGAGGCTTCAGCCCACAGCTCAAGCAAAACATCCCGCTCCTTGTGAGAACTTAAGTTGTTAACTTGGCTTCATTTCAAAGTCATCTGCCCACCATGCAATACACAAAGCACACAAGTACAAAACTAGACCGTGACTGTGGGAAGTAAGCAGGAAATGGCTTCCGTGTCACCGCACCGCCTTCTCATTTTACTCACCTGTCCTAGGGCATCTGGGCTGTTTCTGTAACTTGGCTACTGAGAATAGTGCAGCAGTGAACATGGATGCACAAGTGTCTTTACCATACCCTGGCGTATGGCGTTCTGGGTAGCGGCCCAGGAGTGCCATGGCTGGGTCGTAGGAAAGGTCTGTGTCTAGTCTTGTGAGGAACCTCCAAACCACCTTCCAGAGTGGTTGTTCAGTACCAGTGCAGTGCAGTAGATTCCTTCCCCACATCTACCAGCATTTGCTATTGTTTGAATTCCCCGTGCTGGCCAATCTTACTGGTGGTGAAATGGAATCTCAGTGTTGTCTTGATTCGCATTTTCTTTATGGCCTGGGATGTTGAGTATTTCCTTATGCGTTCTTTGGCCACTCTTTCTTCTCCTGAGAAGACACTTTTTAGCTCCTTTGCTCATTTATTAACTGGTTCATTGCTGTTCTGGACTTTTCCCTAGTCTTTAAAACAGAAATGGACTTACATAAGGAAGGTGCTGGCGTTGGAATGGCTGTGTTCC